GAGAAGGAAGGAGACTGAACATCAGGTACAGGTAAATAGAGTGCCAACTGATCAAGAAGTATGGTAAGATAGCACCCGTGGCTCCACGAAGATCTGAAATGGACACTTGTCATAATAATGTATAAGTCAATTGATAAATAATAGACACAACTTGGGTAACAAAATAATAATATGCGATAAAGCCCAAAGCTAAAAATTTTGTATTAAATCTAGAATTAATATTTTATTGGACAGGTCAATTCCAACAATGATTAATTCTGTTATACTCACCTCTAGACCATGTAATTTTGTCAAGAGTTTTGCCCAAATCTTAAAAATTGCAGTACATATGAATTAGAATAGCACTAGAAGTAAGGTTTCTCAGATTTGTTGTTGCAAAATGTTTCACTGAGGCACAGATGTTCTCAGACAGCTAATAACACCTCTCTTCCCTGCTTGCTCCTGCTGCATTTCGCTCTCCCACCCATGTTCTACCGCCTCCTCGGCTTCCACTCTCCCACGCTTGATCCGTGGCAACTGACATGTGGCCCCATGCCTCGCCCCCAAGCAAGAGCCAGACGCAGGCCACGACGCAAGCTGGCGCACGTCCGCAAAGGAGGAACCAGATTACCAGACGCTGTGGCCATGACCCAAGCCTCCCATCAACCCCCTCCACCAGGCCACCCTCTCCGTTTACATCCCTCGCTGTCTGATCCCGTCGGATTTGGAGGAGGGATCGAAGGGCTGTCGGATTAAGAGTAGGGAGGCAGGAGCTGCATGCTACCGGTGGAGGAAGGGGATGTGGGGTGGGGCAGTGCGGCGAGATAGGACAACTATGGTGCTGATATGGAGCGACTAAGATGAAGCCACAGAGAAACACAACAGGTGAGGCGACGTGAAGAAAAGGAGGGTTTGTGTGGTTTGTTAATGGTGATGGTCTGCATTAACACCATCCATTCAGAATTGCCTCTAAAGCTTAATGTCAAAATGTCAATTCAACAGGACAATATATTTGTAATTTGATTGCTTTTTTAGATCATCAATTGCACCGAACGAAGAATAATAACATGTTAGACCAATCGATACCTTAGTGTCAGTGTGTAAGAGCTTGAATTAGTATTATCGAATATTTGAGCATATCAGCGGAGCATGGGATCAACATTTTTTCCTACACTCTACAACATAAAGTCCAAAGCTTTGAAAGGCAAATAGCCTCAGGAACACAACACACACACGAACACAAAGGGTTTGGTGGCTGGAATGACTTCTTTTCTGATTTTCTACTTATATAGCCAGCTGTGAGCTACAAATCAGGCTGTGATAGCCTCCTAACTAATGTAGAATATCAACCTAGCTATTACTCCATGCTGAAATTAAGCTAAAGCTAAGGCTATGAACCTAGACACGAGCATGCACCTAGACACAAGATTATTTCCAACATGCTTAGCACTCGTTGAATACAATGAAGATGACATGGTATTAATGGGATTTACATTTGTTCGGCCGTAGCAACACATGGGCAGAAACCTAGTCTCACCAAATTATCCCGTGTCCAACTTGTATAAATCAAGACAATATTAAAAAGGGTTAATTGGATTCATGCCATTATAATTTTCGATGTTTGGAGAAACGCCATTATTATTCGCCTATTTTGAAGCATGCCATTACAATTCTTCGTTTCCCACAAAATGCCCTTTGAATACGTATGGACCTGACTGGGCCTAGGCTAGTGAGCGATATCTGAAAGACGTATACTTCATCTCCCTGTCAGTGACACGCGGGCCCCACGTGTCATCTTCTTCTTCCTCTCCTCATCTCTCTCCGGCTCTCTCTCTCCATCCCGACGCTGGCACGCCCGGCCGCGGCCGGCCGGCGGCGATTCTGGGCTTCTTGGCGAGCCGACGAGTCATTGTCAGGACCCAGCACAGCCCATGGCGCAGCGGCCGGCGACGGCGCGCCACAATGAAAGCAAAGCAGGCCGCGGCCGGTGCGAAGCTCACCGCCCGGCGGCCTTGGCAAGGATGCGGCCGTGAGAGCTTCTGCGGCTTTGACCGACGTCTTCTTCTTTCGCCCGCTTGCTTTCACCCAGCGCGTCTTCTTGGCCTTCCCGCCGGCGGCGCGCCTCCTCCATCCATGGCGTCGTCGTCGGACCTCTCTCCTCCATGGATACTGGCGCGGTTGGTCTTCACGAGTACCTCCATGGTCGGGCGCCGCACACACCTCCCTCCTCCTGATGAAGAGCTTCACAAGTGCCTCCATGGCCGGCGCGATCGTGGGCTCCACTCGATCCGGTCTGCAGTCGATCATGGGCTCCGGTCCCCAGTTCCGGCAGGCGTGGCCCGTCCCTCACTGCACCGCAATGACCCTGTCCCCATGAGATCCAAAGAAGCGACCCCCATCCCCATGCCCGAGATCCAAAGAAAGGGCGGTCCCATCCCGTCCCCTCATGAGCTCCAAAGAGTACGGCCTTCCCCCCCCCACCCAAGCCGGCCAGCTGCTTGCTTTCGCCGCGGCGTCTTCTTCTTCTTCCTTTCATGAAATTTTAGTGCGACTTTCTTCTTCTTCTTGCCGCTTTCATTGTGGCCGTGGGCTGCGTCGGGATGGAGAGAGAGAGAGAGAGAGAAGAAGATGACATGTGGGGCCCACGTGTCAGTGACAGGGGTGATGAAGTATACGTCTTCGTATACGCCTGCAGTTGGGCCCAGGCTGTGTCCATATGTATTCAATGGCATTTTTGTGGGAAACGAAGAATTGTAATGGCATGCTTCAAAATAGGCGAATAGTAATGGCATTTCTCCAAACATCGAAAATTATAATGGCATGAATCCAATTAACCCTAAAAAGCTATTAAAAACATGCATAGAAAATACTACTAGCATACAATAACCAGATGGTAGAGCTAATAAAGCCAACAAGCTACATCCCTTTATTTGCGCAACAATCATTAATGATCCATTAGAACTTTAAGTTCAAGAGGACTAAGGATACTAACCTTTTGTAAGGGTTCTCGAACAATGTAATAGAACTTATGCTTGTAGTGTCGCGTGTCCCTCCAAAACTGGAAAAATATGCAAGATTAGGGGGGGGGTGAGGGAGGGACGGAGGGAGAGATTTTATAAACCTTAGGAAGATATTTTCTCAATCTATCATGTTTATCGCCAACAACCTAGAAGAAATCATCCATTAGATTCAAGTACAACAATAATAACACAAATGTTCATCTATATATATAACACATATAAGCCTATGAGTCAAACACTTTCCAGAAAAATAAAGTGGCCCAGCAAGTTCTAGAAAAACAATTGAGGGAAAAGAATACTTTCAACAAGTTCTAGTATACCACCTGCTTGAAGGCTCGCCCCATATCCTTTTGTAGTAATATTGTTCTATAATCCTGACAGTTAAATAAATTTGAACATGGCATTAATAATGACTCAAAACGCAAGATATTAAAGGCCGTTTAGAAAAACATACAATGATTCCTCGGATAACATAATGTCTCGGAAGATAACGCCCATTAAAAACTTCATCCTTGAATGTATCTACAAGTTCTGTTGTCTTCTCCTACACAAATAATAATATTATAACTGATATGCATGGAAGCGATGAACATAAAAGGCATATTCTCATTATGTTAACATGTACCAAATTGACACGATCATTGTCAACAGAAAAAAAATCTTCGACTTCAAACTCCCTCATCAAGTTTGTGAGACGACTTCTTCGCTGAAATGTGTTGGTACTGAACTTCAGAATCAGGTTAACCATAAGATCAAAAAAAGAAAGAATCAGCTTAACCATGGAATAAAAGACAGACTCTTGTAAGGGCGTGAATGTAATCACAAACAAACAAACAAGGGTGTGTGGGTGTGTGCTGTAAGGATTCTGGGCCCTCTCTCTTCTTAATACAAAGATACATAGCTCTCCTGTGTGTTTAAGGGAAAAATGCAATAAAAGACAAGTGAAGCTTATATTTCCAGTTTTACTTGCAATCTTTTGTTAAATTTCTAAAGGCAAAATACAATAATGGGAACAATTATACATTGATGAGTTATAAACACACGCCGGTACATGTTTATGCACCATTACATGCTTTAAATGAAAATTTGTTTTAAATAATGATAGCGTATCATTGTACCATTGTCTTGTTGACTCATGATAATCAAGAAAATAGGAAACTGATATAAATTCACACACTTCCTACCTTCCTATGCATTCACATACTCGAAACAAATAAAAGGTACAGGTCAAGTTGCTGATTTCAGAAGTCCCTAAACCAAGCACATTTGGCTATGATAGAGTTACAACCAATATAACAAAATTTAGTTCTTCAGCTGTCACAAGACCAGATCTCTTGGAAGCACCTTTTTTTCAACTGAACAGATTTTTCCTTGTTAGCCAGGTGTGCATGCAAAAGGTTTACAATGTTGCATGTTTGCTCCAACCAAATATAGTAGTATTGACATCTCATTTTGATTATCTTGGGCCAAACAACATAACCTGTAAACTCCTAGCTGAATAAAAACAAATCATGACCATTGGATGCAGCATACTTGCTATGATGCAAGCAAAAGCTGTAGATACTTTCCCTTTCTCAAGGCCTTAAGGCAGGATTTCAGATGTTGCAGAAATGATGGGGAAAAAAAAACTAGGTCTGTCAAAGTTGGATATCAAAATAAATCTATAATCTACCGTAAGCATAGATTCCTGATGAACACAACATCAAGAAGCAATTTGTTAACTGAATATTAAATAAGGTGATGCCTGGCGCTTCACTATTTATTTCCAATAAAACCAACAGTTTATCAAAAACTTGTTAGGCATTCAAGAATCAAGACAGGAAAAGTGAAACAGAAGGCATTATAATATTTTAATGCATAACAGAAATATATTATCGAAATACTATTTTCATTCCATACCGACTCATCTGCAATGAGGTCTCTTATGCAATCCGAATATAACTTAACTTCATTATAGATTTTCACAATAGCAGCTCTTCGCTACAAAAAAGGACATGCTTGTTAAGGAATAAATTGACCAAAAACAAATACCCAAAGGAATATTGTTGGCACCTTGAGAGACAATTCTTTAAGACCATGGTCCAAATTTGAGAACTTCTGAGTCACTGCACAACTGTCTACATCTACCCCAAACAAATTTTCCTGAAAAATATAAGCAGCGTAGGTAACTCAGATTTTACTGCAGTAATGCAGTTATGGGTACCTGACATAGTTAAAAAAATTGTCATACCCCTGAAGCCAAATAGTCATCATATTCTTGATGCAAGCGGAGTTGCACTTCAGCCGTTGCATACTGAAGAAATTGATACCGTTTCATAACAAAAAAAAAGACAATTATAGTGAAAAAAAAGGGTAAGAACACTAGTATTCCTTCATGCACATAACCAGAACACAAGTTAGTAATTCTATATTTCATGTACCCAGTGCAGAGAGCTCCCGCTCTGTGCGGGGTCTGAAGAAGGGTGTAAGTGGCAAGCATTACCCTCGCCTGTGCAATGCAAGGAGACCGCAACTCGAACCTGGGACCTTCCGGTCACAGGCGGTAAGACTCTACCGCTTGCACCAAGCCCGCCCTTCTACTTCTATATTTCATGTAACTTAATAAATAGCAATTAAACATCTGAATGCACACAGTATTTTCTTGAACAAGAAGGAGAAATGCACATCATTATATTAAGAAGAAAAAATGGGAAAGGAACCCATACAAGACACCCACTCACACCATGTTGTTCAAATTAAACAGACATGCGCTTATCACACAAAGGCAGTGACGTCAACCCAAAATTAACGCCCATTCGGCCCCAGGGTGAGGAGGTAATCGACACCTCGTACCCCTGCCAAACCCCAAAAAATAAGCTCCTCATTAGCGAGCAACAGACCTCGAGCTAGGTTTGGAGAATCAACATCAAACACACACCGACTACGAATATTTCACAAAGTACATGCTCCCAAAATGCACAGTAAGGGCATCTAAAGCATGCAAACATGAAGTTTCATGACCACAAGCCATCTTAACAGCAATATAACTATGTGGTGGGTACAAAAAGACCAGATAATAACCAACAAAACAAAGTTTGCTTTCAAGCAGGGAAAAAACTTCCACGAAATCTATCAATCCAAAACTTCAGATTGTATCAAGAATTCTGTTTCAGTCATACCAGGCAAATCGAAATAAATTGAATAAAATAAAGTAGGGCTACAAACCGCAGCGTATAACATGCATCACTGCACTAGGATTCCATCCTTCATTATCCTATATTCCTATGGAGAGTTAAAGCCCAGTTGGCATTGATAGTTTACTATGGCATCGTCTTGAGTATGGCTCCAAATACCATTATAAATGCAAGGTTGCTCTCGGTGACATTAAGCTTGATGCCAAATGACAGGAGACTATCATCGGCCAGGTATAAACTGTGTATATTTTTGCTTGGTTTCTTTGGAGTAAATTACATGCGTTGGGGCCCTTTATGTAGGGATTGACTTGATTCCCGGTGCAACTATATTTAATGTTACCAACTTGATCTCTATTTCTATCTCTTATTACCAGGTCTGGTTACTAACACTTCTAAACGTTCTGTGAGTCCAGTCCAATCCAATCCCAGAACCAAGATATTAGAAGTTCTGACAGAGACCTTCCCATGCAAAGTGCAAGAATTCCCCTGCAAGTATCTTGGGTTTCCACTCTCTCAGAAACTTTCTAAGGCAGATTTTTATGCAATAATTGACAAGATTGCTGATAAGTTACCTAGCTGGAAGGCAAACATGATGCGTCCAGCTGGGAGGTCCACCTCGTCTGTGGAGTGCTCACAGCTATTCCAATTTATCAGCTCATAGCATTGGAATTCCCTAAATGGGCAATTAAAGCAATTGAGAAGATTGGAAGAGTTTTTCTATGGAAAGGCCCCAAGGAGGCCAATGGAGGCCATTGTATTGTTTGCTTGGGATCAGGTTCAAGAGGCCAATTGATCTAGGAGGTTTGGGAATTCTTGATTTAGAGATCCTTGGATGGGCATTGCGAATGGGATGGTTGTGGCTTAAAAAGACCCAACCTGACTGACCGTGGGCTGGTCTAGATATCCAAGTGCATCCAAATGCATTTGCTCTGTTCTCTATCTCGATTACATCTGTTGTTAGGGATGTCAACAGAGCTCTTTTTTGGAGTGACAAGTGGCTACATGGAAAAATCCTTACCTGAGAACAGTGAAGGAGGTGCTAGGAGATCACACCTGGGTTTGTGACATTAGAGGTGGGCTGTCAACGGAGGCATTATCTAAATACCTGCAACTTTAGGACCTTCTAATCAGTTCTGAGCTCACTCCTGGAATAGATGACCAGCATATATGGATGCCACCTTTATCCAGTGAGTTCACAACAAAATCATCCTACCATCATTTCTGTGGGGTCAGTGAAATTTGGGCCATGGAGAGAAATATGGAAGACCTGGGCTCCACCTTGATGTAAATTCTTTGTTTGGTTGGCCTTCTTAAACCGTTGTTGGATGTCTGATCATTTGTCCCGTCGTGGACTTGATCACCCGGACCGCTGCCCACTGTGCGACCAAGAGATGGTGCAACATTTACTCACTTCTCGTATGTTTGCATGGAGTGTGTGGCTTTCAGTGCTATCCATGGTTGGACTGCAGCACTTAGCTCCAGGCTTGGAGAACTAAAGGTAAGATTGGTGGTATCATGATTTACAAATGGTTCCCATTTTATCTTGCAAGGGCTTCAACTCCTTGGTTGTTTTGGTGGCATGGTGAATTTGGAAACATAGGAATGGCTGTATTTTTTAAGGGTTTTCTCCTTATCTTGCAGCCATCTTGCAGGATATTAGAGATGAGGCAACGTTATGGTGTATGGCAGGAGCCAAAGTGCTCCGAAGCATATTGTCAAAATTGTTTTGCTCATTGTGGTTACGGTTTGTTGGTAAATCCTTTTTGTAACTTCTTTGCCCCTATAGGGGTTGTACAAGTCATCTAGACTCCTTTCTTCTTCTTAATATAATGATGCACAGTTCTCCCGCTCCCGCGTGTTCGATAAAAAAAACCTAACAAATCTCTATGACTTCCCTAGCTAGATAATCTCCTTCCTTGATTAGTCGATTTGACTCATTCCTAATTTAACCAGCCACATGAGCCTCGCGCATGGCCATAACATCCCACAAAGCCATAGCATAGTTCAAACATTAGGTCTACCTTTAAGTTTCAAGCTACTAGAAGTAGCTACTTGGAACTAGTCCCAGCACCATATAGACATAACGGGCACTAAACATGCTTATTAAGGCGGTAAGGTGGGACGTGGCGAGCCACCCGTTAGAGTCGCCTTGGTGACACCTAGGCGATTATAAGGCGCGCAAGGCGACGCCATATGAATATGAAGAACTTCAGAGCTGCAGTGTGGAGATGATAGGAAAAGGAAAACAAAAAAGAAAAGAAGAAATGGGAAGAAACTAAGAAAGCCCAGCCCAAGAGACCACCAATCAGCCCTTGTAACCTTCCCTAAGCATGACCTAGAGCTGCCACTCCCCCTACTGAGACCCCTTCCATCAGGCACCACCTCTATCTCTCCCTCTCTCTGGCACCTCTCCTCGGGTACTCCCCTCCCCTTCTCCCATGCTGTTGTCGCCACCTTCCAGATCCCCCTCCACTTCTATGCAGATCAAGAACTGCTGGCCTGCTGCTGCCCCTCTCACATCCCTGATGCTGCGGTTGGCCGGTGAGGAAAGCTGCCATGGCCATGGGAGCCAATGGGGATGGGGCATAGATAGGAGACTGGCCTTCCCTGAATCCTGCTGGTCTTCCTCTAGTTCTTCTCTTTCTTCTCCCTCCCCTCCTCTCTTGTTTTGCTGGATTTTGGTCGTGGCGACAGGGACACCCAGGATGTTTTTTTTAGCGCCTGAACGCATTGGTGACGACTAGGTGACGCCTAGGCGACGACTTGATAACCATGGCACTAAACATACTAAAGATTACCCAAAGAAAAATATGTTACACTGGAAACAATGATTAAAATCAGTCACCTAGAAAGATCACTGACCACAGCAGCAGCAGCAACAACAACAACATAGCCTTTCAGTCCCAAGCAAGTTGGGGTAGGCTAGACCGCTAGAGTTGAAACCCACCAAGAGTCTCAACTCACGGTTCAGGCACTTCAATAGCTGCTTTCTAAGCACTCCTATTCAAACATAGATCTCTAGGTATATCCCAAGCTTTTAAATATCTTTTTATTGCCTCCCCCCATGTCAATTTCGGTCTTCCTCTACCTCTCCTCATATTATTAGCTTGGCTTAGGACTCCACAATGCACTGGTGCCTCTGGAGGTCTCCTTTGGACATGGCCAAACCACCTCAACCGATGTTGGACAAGCTTTTCTTCAATTGGTGCTACCCCTAGGCGATCACGTATATCATCGTTCCGAACTCGGTCCATTCTTGTGTGACCACAAATCCATCGCAACATACGCATTTCTGCAACACTCAGTTGTTGAACATGTCGAATCTTTGTAGGCCAACATTCTGCTCCATACAACATAGCCAGTCTAATCGCCGTTCTATAGAACTGACCATAGCAACCGTATGAAATAAACTTTAATAAAAGGAATAACATGGTGAAATACATTTGATTTAAACACTCCAAAAGCCCTTTGTATAGGGGCATCTCCCTCATAACGGCACACCACAAGCAGAGTGCCATGATATATGATTTCTCATTTGTAGCAATGATATATAACGGTCCTTGGTAAGAACCTGATTAGATGAGCATGATTTCTTTTAAATATTTGGCCATGTTTTGAATGGCATAATGGAAGTTCTAACATGAACTGAAAACACCTAACTATAGATCGTAAGGAGAGATAGATTTAAACAATTTTGCACATTTAGCAAGATCAACTATTTCTAAAAGTGGTAATCAGTAATCAGTTTGTCATATTGAGTCCATTAAAAAAACAGAATTTATCATAAGCAATCACACCAAGTTGAATGTTAAGGCCACAAATTTTATTAAAAATGGTACATGCATCAACATAACATAGTTGAAATCTAACAGGATCAAGCAAGAGTAGAACAAGTGAACAACTAGAACTGGTACATTTCTTTTGTCCAAAGAAATTGTAGGAAGGACATCTGAACTTCGTAAACATAATGTTATCACAATATAGTGCAATGCTAATAGGGTTAATTTTTAAAATTAGTTCTGTTCCTGGATCCATTGAGATATGTTTTCTTTTTGAAAAGGAATCCACAATTCTTCACATATGTCACACAAGAATGTTATTGGCTTTTCTCGGTTTTAACTGCGAGCTTTATTCAATCCTCACAAACAATATCCAAGTCAACATATGAAATGTACTGTCAGATAAAACAAAACATTTTGCACAAGTAGAAATAAATATCATGCACAACTAGAAAAAAAAAAATGAAGGGCGGGCCTGGTGCAAGCGGTAGAGTCTTACCGCCTGTGACCGGAAGGTCCCGGGTTCGAATCGCGGTCTCCTCGCATTGCACGGGCAAGGGTAAGGCTTGCCACTGACACCCTTCCCCAGACCCCGCACAGAGCGGGAGCTCTCTGCACTGGGTACGCCCTTTAACTAGAAAAAAAAATCTGGGAATTCAATGCCTCAATGGCATACCTCAGAAGTTTTAAGCTTCATCAAAATATATTGTATGGCATATGGTTTCAAATGTGTCGGGAAGTCTCTCGGGTCTGGTGTCAGTGGCTGAAAAACCAAAAACAAGGAAATCAGATTTTACAAAACAATAGAAGTTCATATTGTTATCACAAATACTATATGAACAGACCTGAAAATCATCAAATTCTTTACCCATAGTTAATTGCTCAATTATCCATAAAAGAAACTCTTTATGTTCCTGCAAAATATAAAGCATTACGCAAAATGTAACAAAGCAACTCAACAAGTACGAGAACTCCAGTGCTCTGAATTGTCAACAAATTACTTCACGGATTAGAGGATGAAACTGAGGTTCCCAGAAATACAATACTGAATCAAGTAGGACCTGAAAAAAAAAGGTTCTTTAGACTTGGGAGAAACAATAGATAGATCGATCTTTAAACAGAGTACTTCTACCTAAATAACTAAGAATGCATATATATAACAAATAATTGAAAAACTCACACGAACAGACCGTTCCACATCATAGGAGTAAAAACGACTGAATGGTGTCTCAATATTTTCAAGACGATTAATCACACTACTAAAACGGTCGGAACCCTGTGAAATAATCACATATATATCATGCTGAAAGTTGCTACAAAAAAAAACAAGAGTAAAATACATCTGTGGTCCCAAACTTGTCTTGATGTGCCATTAGGACACTATTAATTTGCGAGTCGATAAACTTGCTAAGCAGTTCACCTGTGGTCCAAAACTATGGTAAGCCTTTCAACTGCTGATCTTGACACTAACAAGGCAAGTGGTGCCAACACAGAAACTAACAGGAGAGATAAGAGCCAGGAAGAAAGTGATGTTCTAAGTTATGTGGGTTGTAGTGGAACTTTATCTGTTCATTGTAAGAGGAAGAAAGTGATGTTAAAATGTGTAAGACATAATCTGCTGCTCCCCAATTCTCTCTTTGCTGCAGATTAGGAGTTGAGGCTGATCAGCCCTGCTGTCCACTCGCTGCTGCTGTAGCAGTAAGGCAATAGGCCATAGTTGTAGTGGCTTACATCAGCCATGTAGTGTAGAGATAGCTGAGCTAAGCCAGGAGTAGGTAGTTGGTGTACTCACCATACCATATTGTACCTGGTAGAGGTACTAGCACTTGTACATATACTATGCCAAGGCAATGAAGCAATTCAGTTCAGCCAAATAGGGTCTGTTTGGTTGTGCTTCTTGCAGGAGCCTGGCTAGAAAAATAAGCCTGACTAGCCTAAGCCTGCATAGGATAGTACAAGATGCACTTGTTTGGTTGCATTGGCTATCTTAGCCTGTACAGGAAATATTCTGTTTGGTTGGCTGCTTTGGTTGCATTGGCTATCACCCCATCTGAACACTGGCCGTCGAACAGGTGGTGAGCAGAGCGGAGCCTCGCCATTCCCGTGGCTGCTGCTCGTTGTCCTCCACCAGCTCGAAACTCCTCTGGCCCCTCGCCGATGGACACCACTGGTGCATCCTCTAGCGCCGACGCGCGGGAGACAACGCCACTTCCCCTGCTCCAACCGGCAGCCCCGGCTCCGGCCCCTTCATCGTCCACGCGCAGCGCACGGGAAGCGGGAGAAGAGCTCCCAGCCACGGACGAGCTCGAGCGCGAGGTAGATCTTCAAGCAGGTGAGCTCCAGCCACGGACGGACAAGCTCCAAGCCACCATCTTCGAGCGGGTGAGCTGCAGCCACGGATGGATGAGTTCCCAGCCACCACGGACGAACGAACGTACGAGCTCCACGGACGGACAAACGGACGAGCTCCACGGACGGCCGGCTCGAGAACGGCAGGATGCGGGTGCGGCGGCCGGCACGGGAGGAGCCAGTGGCGTAGCGAGAGGGTGAGTGGACTCATCGTGGTCACTAGCGCAAGCCAGGCTCCACGAAAACAGCCCTCCCTCACGTTACCAGCAAGCCACCCTGGAGGAGCCTTTTTGGCTTAGCTAAGCCTGGCTAGGAGGCCAAACAGGCAACCAAACAACAAGAGACTGCATCTAGGAAGCCTGGCTAGGGGCTAAGCCACCCAACCAAACACTCCCATACATTTTCAGAGCAGCAGGAGCTGCTCGAGCTCTGTGTGTGTGTGTGTGTGCTGTGCTCACCTCTTCTTCTACCTCTAGCCGAGTGACTGTGTGTGTGTATGTGGGATTGTGGGTAAGCTAGCTGCTTACCTGTGCAGGGAGATCGTGGGCCAACAAAATGTATGTGGGTTGTAGTGATACAAACAATGGGGAAGCAACATTTGGTGATATGGATGACACAAAGATGCCAAGCAGATGGATTAACAGCAATTAGGGGCATTTTTACCTCAGGTGAACTGCTTAGCATGATTCAGGGACATAAACTGCAAATTAATAGTTCAAGGACCTAGGTGACATGCCATGTCCAATCAAGTTTAGTGACCTTTGGTGCCTTCTAATCATTAACAATAGCAACAAAGTACCTTAATATATGGTTTGAGAGTAATGATTTGGCGAAGGAACACAGCCATTTCTTTGTGATTTCTGACTTGAGTCATCGAGTAATACTTTCGCTTCAATAACAAAATTAAATACATATATAAGCAACATTAGTATTAGTATTAGTATATATATATGTAACCATATGCCGAGCTGCTAACTGAGGTAACAAGATCCATACTCTTCGCATTTTTGAGATGGTAATGAAATGATGATGCTCAATGCTGTTAATGGCAAGCTTGGATCTAAACTCAGGATTCAGTTTCTCAAGAAATTCCCAATCAGAATAATCAACCTGCAATGTAGATTAATATATCCATACACCCATTTTATGAACATATACAAATGCATTAATTACGAAACAAAGGGAACTGTTGATTTTATAAAGAACATGGAACACCATGAGATGTTACCCTGATCTATGTAACTCAGCAAATATTATGAAATTAAAACAGAATCCTACCAAAAAAATATCTACAGCAATACACCAAGGACTACAGCCTGCAGCTAAGTTCATTTCGATGATATTTCTAGTAGATGCATTACATTTGATTGAACAATTTAACATTCTCAAATACCAATGCTTCAGATGTTTCCTAAACTTGCAAATGTGAAAGGTTTGCTCCTATAGGCCGTAAAAATTATCCAACGAGACATTCTAGCTGAGTTGATTATGAAAGAGATCTCACACCTTACCGAGGGCTTGTTTGGGTACGCCCAATTGCCATGTGGATTGGAGGGGAATGGATGGGATTGAAGGGGAAATTAGTTCATTTCCTCAATCTTCTCTAAGCCACAAGGGGAATCATTTATCAAAACTAGCTATGAAGGCAAGACATCTAAACAATTCCGTAACTTCTCTGACCTAATGGCTACTGTTCTAACGTACCGTCACCCTCGCATTCCCCCATCTCATGCTCAATGACAATTAGATTTACACCTGCAACTGCAGGTTGCAGTACCTAGATGTTAATGGATAACATAACTGCTTCATGCACTGTGGAAGTTACAAGCACTTTGCTAGCCCTGATATACCAATTTGCATTATCAAATAAAAATCTTGAGCAGTTAGTATTTTCTTTAGGAAGGAAAAAAAATACCTTTGAACTGCCGAGTATTGCATCTACTTCCTTCAACATATCAATATAAATTGGAAGATATCTTCTAAATTCATCTTCAAACTGGGCGAATAAATAAACATAGTTTCTAATAAGTAAGAACCAAAACCAAACCAGATAACAGTTCAATATTGAGGTATCCGAGCTGAAGTTACAAAGAGCACTAACCTCCCAATTCCATTCTGTTTTCTGCTTATTAAATTCATTTGGCACAGCAAGATGTGCCCTTGCACGTAAATCTATCTTTTGCTGTGCCAACCAACACATGAAGTTATCTGCAGCATTGCCTATGCCCTTATCTCCCCCCTCTATGTTCTAGCATAATTAAGTTTGCACAAAAAAAAAAATAGTTTGCATCTGTTAATGACGCTTCTCAACTTAAAGCAGTACAACAAAATTCAGAAAAGAAAAAAAAAATCATGAGTCAGATACCTGGCATTCTGCATGGACATTGCTTGACAAATAATCATATGATTCGCGACAGAGTACGATAAGATCCTCGTTAACACTAACACTTATATCTGGGTTCAACTTGCAAAAAAGACGTCTAATTGCACACGGAAGCTGATCATCTAGACGCTGAATCAGCGACGGAAGCAGTTCATCTAAAACAAATAGCTTAAGTCTTTGATCTTTGGTGACACCAGCAAGCCATACCAAAGCAAGGCAAAAGGGAACAGCATTTCTGGATGCTTCATCATCGGCCCAATACCCAAATAAGCTCATCCGTAACCTCCCAAAACAATCATGAACCAAAAGATACCTGCAAACAATTGGAATATCTAGGTGTTATCTTTGTTCACTTAATAGACTAATACCAATAGAACTTAAGGTAAACAAATTATTTTTCATACCCAATAAGAGAACTTGAAGATACTGATTCCAGATCCTTGAAAGCAGTTATCCTGCTATCACTGGCATCTTCAAAACACCCATGAAAAATGCCACTGTTTGATTCTGGACTGGATAGATTTCCAAACAAATGGCAAACTACACGGGTGAAGTCAAGCAGTTGAGAACGCTCCAATTCCTCAACATCTTCTGCTGATTCAGTAAGTTTGACAAAGTAATAAGGAACTTTAGCTCGACCATTGTGCATAAGACTGAACCAAGCAGCATAAAGTACACTCTCACAGTGTCTAAGCAAAGGTCGCAAGAGGTCCAACATCCATTCTTTCCATAATTCAATAGGACAATTTCTAACCAATGGAAGGAAAACAGCATCGATAAGTTTGCTTAAATGCCTAAACTCCATAGTCTCTAAATCCTCAAAAGCAACACAAAAGGAGGATTTATCCAAAAGGCCAACAAATGCTCCTTCAAGAGACATGCATAGACCAATGACCTTGTACCTGCAGCAATACATAACCAATCATGTGCCAATTACTGAAAGCAATATAGAAAAAGGATGCACAAAGTATAAATAAATTCTGTCGCGATAATTTGAAGTGCAAAGTAAAATTAGTCATGGACCGTAAAATACCATAAACTATAACAATAAAAATTAATATGCCATCTACATGCCTTATGTCGATTTAGGACAGTACTGAGCAGCAGAAGGCACAAAACCTGTGATGGAAGGAATAGCATATACTACCTCAATCACAATCAGTAAGCTGCTTGATTACCAAGTTATCAAGTATTGACCCATTTCAAATCTCACCTGAATACGAATCTCTATTTGGGACCTATGGTGATCTTTGTTTGAAGTTTGAACTCCCTTCCCCTTACCATATGGACTATGAACCCAAAATCCCCCAGCCAGTTAGAGCCTGGCTCGCCCGCGCCATAAAAGGGTTAGGCTAAGTAAAATCTTGAACTGTGAAGCTTGACGTAAGATCAAATTTAAGTAATGGATCTCAGATTAAGAAAATAAACTACACCCTCTATTCCAAATTATAAGACATTTTGGCTTTTCTAGATACAAGTTTTTGCTATGCACTTAGATATACAATATGTCTAGATACATAGTAAAAGCAATGTATCTAGAAAAGCCAAAATGTCATAATTTGGAATGGAGGGAGCATATCAGACTATCATCACTATTACATTAAGCTTCTCATGGTTTCTGTGTCACTTCATTGCTTATGCTTAGTACTGCACATGTTCTCTAATATGAAGTGAAGAAAAGGAAGTAGACAATAGAATCAACAGTTCAATTGCTGAAAGCAACGTACTTACCCACGCTCTCGGATTTCCTCCAATAATTCCCCTGTCTCATTCTGTTCAAAACCTTCCTCACCAATCATCAGCATTTTAGCGCTTTCAAGTTCTTCAGACAGATTGCAAGCAATTTGATCTTTCCAGAGATTGTGGATGCACCGAAGGAACTGAAGATAAAATATTAAACACAATAAATGTAATACTCGCAAAAAAAAAAAACTAATATAAACACCGAACATCAAACAGATCAGATGCCCTAGTTGGGGAAAAGAAATTAAGTTTAGTTTTCATACCTGCAACAATAGAGGAAGGATCAAGCGTAGAAGGGAAGCAAAATAGGTATCATAAGATTGCTGCCTCACAGTAATTTCTTCTCCTATGATTTCTTTGAGGGCATCCTCACATGACTTTATGACCCAACAAACCGAGTTCAAGAAATAATGATCAGAAAGTAGACATGATAAACCACGACCGGTATGGAGAAAACTATCTTCCCACTCTGGTTGGGTCCATATCATGTTGAGAAGTTTAAGTATAAAAATATTAGTGCTACTGTGCTCGATGTTATGGTGCGCGCTGTTCCTGTAAACAACCTTAAAATTAAGTAATCATACTCTAGCATACAAATGGTCATTAAATAAAAGAAACAACTTTGCCTCTCTGGTACTACTCTAGTCACTAATTAGTATTGGCAAGAAATTATCAAAATCTAACAAGATCGTTCCATTTTGAACACTTGATTACATTCATAGGTAAAAGAAAAACTTGCCTCACTCTAGTCGCTAATCAATGTTGGCAAACAAATTATGAAAAAACTTACAAAATAGTTCTATTTTGAGCATTCGACGCATGTACACGTACACGCACACACAATCGCACAGACACACGCAGAGTGAGAGGGAGAGGGAGGGAGGGAGGGAGGGGAGAGGTAGAGAGCATATTCAACAGACTACCAGAGGCTAAAGAGCGCCATACCTGGAAAAAGATATCGCAATAAATGCTTGACATAGAATATTATGTTCTGCAAGGAGTAGGCATCCCTTAAGTTGAGGACCATATGCCTGTCCAGAAAACCTCTATAGCATTAATAAAAAGAGTTTTAATAAGAGAATAAGCTCAACTGCATATTAGTATCAGATAGATGAGAGTAAAAGAAAAGTACTCACCAACACATGTGGATGAACACCCTCTGGACCACCGTCAACCATGTTGTCATCGGATATGTCAATTGCCATGAGCCTCTGAGGAAAAAAAATATAAATACTAAGAATAATAAAGACGAAATTGCTGTAATACATGTAAACACAACAAAAATCACCTGGACTTCTAATTCACTCTCATCACAGTCCATTCGCAAATCACAACTGCTGCTACTATGAATGCTTCCATCAGAACTTGAACTAGCGGACACAACCATCTCTACTATCAAATTAAGACTAGTGCTGATAAGCTCCTCACGCCTGAATTCCAAGAGATGCTGCAAATGCAAATGGAAACAAATAAGTATTTATCAATATTAGAGATATGTATAGTCTAACACATGTATATCATGTTACTTGTACCCCAAGTTGTATCTTTACTATATATATGAAAGTCACCCCCCCTAATTGGGTGTGAGGTGTTCCCCTAATTCTCTACATGATATCGGAGCAGCAGCCCTGAAGTCGTCCGTGCAGCAACAGCCGGACGCTGACGCCCGTGCACAACATGAGGTAGTGGAGGCCTGCTGGGGGGTGGTGCAGGTGGCTGGCAGCAGCAGCAAGGTGGTCAGCGCGCGCCTCCTCAGTCTGGTCCGTGGGTCTGTTATGGTCCTCTGCCCGGCCAGCACCAGCAGCAGCAGCCTTGGTTCCGTCCGCCGCAGCAGCAGCAGCCGGCGTGGCGTGGGCAGGGGCTGCTTGGACCTCCGCAGCAGCAGCAGCAGCAGCAGCAGGCGCATTCGGCTTTCGCTCCAGCCAAGTTCTCCACTCCGGCTTACCTCCAGCAGCCACAGTTTGCTCCTCCGCCGGGTCCTCAAGCTGGTGGATGGAACCAGGCGGGTCTCATCTCGGCATTGGACCAGATGGCGCTTCAAGGTACTAATCCCTGGGTTCTGGACACTGGTGCCACATCTCACATGGCTTCTTCGGATGGTATATTACTCACCCGCCTTCCTCCTTATTCTTCATCCATAACTGTGGGCAATAGTCATTCTATACCTGTTGTTAGTCGTGGTACTTCCATCCTTCCCACAGCCAACATCTCCTTCCATCTCAACAACATTCTGGTTGCGCCTGACATTGTGCGCAATCTTCTTTCTGTTCATCAATTTACACATGATAATCATTGTTCTATCGAATTTGACGCACTTGGTTTTTCTGTTAAGGACCCATGGATGGGACGCGTGATTCTTCGCTGCAATAGCAGCGGGGACCTCTACACCATCTCCCCAGCTTCGCCATCCACCGCCGCTAGTTGCAATCTCGCCGTCACGTCCACCTTATGGCATCACCGTCTTGGTCATCCGTCCGACTCCGTCGTCGCTTGCCTTAGAAACATGTCGATTATGACATGTAATAAAACAGCACACTCATTGTGTCATGCTTGCCAGCTCAGCAAACACACGCGCCAGCCTTTTGCTAGTTCAATTTCCATTACATCAGAACCTTTTGCTCTAGTTCATTGTGATGTCTGGACCTCCCCTGTTCCTAGTACTTCAGGTTATAAATATTATTTGGTCATGCTTGATGATTTCACTCATTATTGCTGGTCCTTTCCGCTGCGTCAGAAATCTGAAGTATATGGTCATTTTGTTAATTTCATTGCCTACGCTCAGACTCAGTTTGGTTGTGTGCCTAAATGCTTTCAGGCTGACAATGGCATGGAATTTGTTAACCATGCCATGTCTTCATTCCTATCGAGTCGCGGTGTCCTACTTCGCCTATCCTGCCCCTACACCTCTCCACAAAATGGCAAAGCCGAGCGTATGCTTCATACTATCAACAACACCATCCGCACGATGCTGATCCATGCTTCCATGCCGCCCTCTTACTGGGCTGAAGCGCTGGCTACAACAACCTTCTTGCTGAACTGGCGCCCTTCCTCTTCCGTCGGCCACAAAATCCTGTACCAGATCCTCCATCGCTCGGTACCGGATTATTCTCAGCTTCGCGTGTTCGGCTGCCTTTGTTATCCTATCAGTGCCACGGCTCCCCACAAACTTGCACCTCGCTCCATGCCATGTGTCTTCATCGGTTATCCCACCTCTCACAAGGGTCACCGTTGTCTTGACATCTCTACTCGACGAGTGATTATATCCCGCCATGTGGTCTTTGATGAGTCTGTATTTTCATTTGCCGCCACTCAGTTTGTGCCGGCTTCACTTGATTTTCTTCTGCAGGATGTTACTTCGGTCGCTCCCTCTGTTCCAGAGGTTGAGCAGCCGTTGCCCTAGGACCTCAACAATCCGGCTATCATCATGGCTGGCCCTGCTTTCGCCTCCCGATCTGACCCGATGGTCCTCCCGAAAGATCGCCTAGTCCTCCTCTTTTGCACCTCTGGGGGGGGGCCGGCCGGTTTAGCCTCACCTATGAGCATCGGCCCCTGCACAGACCAAAGACCGCCGCCCGGTGATAAGCGTTCGGCGACAAGGTGTTCCAAAGCCGTGTCTTCGAGCTTCGGCCATCCACCAAAGACGCAGTTGCGTCTACTTCTTCGACTGCTGGTGGTACGACCAGTACGGCTGCTGCTCCTTAGCCACCTGCACCACCCCCAGCAGGCCTCCAATACCTCGTGTTGTGCACGGGCCTCAGCGTCCAGCTGTTGCTGCACGAACGACTTCAGGGCTGCTGCAGCCCCTTGCACCTCCTCGCTGGCCTATGCTGGGGCCTGCACTCCCTGCTCCATCGCATGATGACACGCACACAGACAGTTCCTGTGTCACCTGTCAACTACAAGGGCTTGTCTGCAACATCGACCTCTCCGCTGCCCGCTAATTATCGCAGTGCGTTGGCTAATCCCAACTGGCGTGCTGCGATGGCAGTTGAGTATCAGGCTCTTCTCGACAACATCACATGGCGCCTCGTCCCTCGACCACCAGGTGCCAACATTGTGACAGGCAAGTGGCTCTTCAAGCACAAATATCATGCGGACAGGTCTCTTGCACGCCACAAAGCTCACTAGGTTGTCCGTGGCTTCTCCCAGCAGCATGGTGTCGACTATGATGAGACCTTCAGTCTGGTCGTCAAGCCTGCTACCATCCGGATTGTGCTCAGCATTGCTGCCTCACGCTCCTGGCCGATTCATCAGCTCGATGTGAAGAATGCGTTTCTTCATGATGACCTTGAGGAGACCATCTATGCACATCAGCCTTCTAGTTTCGTCGACCCGTCTACACCTGATTATGTCTGTCTGTTGCAGAAATCATTGTATGGCCTCAAGCAGGCTCCTCGTGTGAGGCATCAACGGTTTGCCACCTACGTCTGCAAGCACGATTTCACTGCGGCGAAGTCTGATGCTTCTTTGTTCATTTTCAAAGATGGTGGAGATGGCATACTTGCTACTCTACGTCGATGACATCATCCTCACAGCATCCTCTTCGGATCTCCTGAGGCGCATCATCGCCCGTCTCAGCTCTGAGTTCGCCATGACAGACCTTGGGGCCCTACAGCACTTCCTCGGCATCTCCGTCACAAGGTCCTCTAACGGCCTCCACTTGTCCCAGCGACAGTATGCCGTCGACCTTCTTCAGCGGGCCGGCATGGCCGAGTGTCACCCCACGGCGACACCGGTTGACTCCAAGTCCAAGCTGTCTGCCACCGATGGAGCTCCAGTTGCTAGCCCTTCAGACTACCGGAGTCTTGCTGGCGCCTTGCAGTACCCCACGCTGACTCGGCCGGACATTGACTAAGCCGTTCAGCAAGTTTGCCTCTTCATGCACAACCCACGGGAACCACATCTTGCTCTGATCAAACGCATTTTGCGCTATGTCAAGGGCACTCTCGATGTCGATCTGCACCTCGGCATTGGCAGCGTGTCATCCATCACGGCATACTCCGACGCCGACTGGGCAGGATGTCGACTCTCGACGCTCTACATCAGGCTACTGCGTCTTCCTTGGAGACAATTTGGTTTCCTGGTCTTCAAAACGGCAGACCACGGTGTCTCAGTCTAGTGCAAAGGCGGAGTACCGAGCTGTTGCTCACGTAGTTGCTGAGTGTTGCCGGTTGCGCCAGCTGCTTGAGGAGCTTCATATCTCGATCCCTTCGGCGACCATTGTCTATTGCGACAATGTCAGCGTGGTCTACATGACTGCCAATCCAGTTCATCATCGTCGCACGAAGCATATTGAGATTGACATTCACTTTATCCGTGAGAAGGTGGCTTTGGGGTAGTTCAGAGTGCTACATGTTCCCTCAGCTCATCAGTTCGCGGACATTATGACTAAGGGACTGCCTGTACAGTTGTTTAATGACTTTAGGTCCAGTCTCTGCGTCCAGTTCCCTCCCGCTGTGACTACGGGCGGGTATTAGAGATATGTATAGTCTAACACATGTATAACATGTTACTTGTACCCCAAGTTGTATCTTGACTATATATATGAAAGTCACCCCCCCTAATTGGGTGTGAGGTGTTCCCCTAATTCTCTACATGATATTGGAGCAGCAGCCCTGAAGTCGTCCGTGCAGCAACAGCCGGATGCTGACGCCCGTGCACAACATGAGGTAGTGGAGGCCTGCTGGGGTGGTGCAGGTGGCTGGCAGCAGCAGCAAGGTGGATGGCAGCAGCAGCAAGGACATCAAGCATAGAGGTCATGACATCAAGCACACCGTGCAGACTAGGACATCGATAAACACTCTTTTGAACCCTGACATGGTGAAGCCAGTTGTTTTTCCATTATTAATTAGTATTTGGCCCTCTACATGTTAGCAGGCCGTGGGTATGATACTACTAATGTTAGATGAAGCACTGTAGTCAAACGAAAGAAGTTAAATGGACCTGATGTATTTTATTGCCATAGCGAAAGAAGTTAAATGGACCTGATGTATTTTATTGCCATAGTGCTGGATCTCAAATGAGAAATCCTTGCTGAGCAGCAGAAGTGACACCCTTACCAGCAAACCCACATAGCTTTCCTCATCCTCTCCTCCCTGTTTCACAGGAACCAAACATCATTGATGGTGGAACCAAACATCAATGATAGTCTAACAACAATTATTTATAAAAAGTAAAAGGGGAGTAAGTCCTAATGGAGGCGTTGAAACATATAAGTAAGCGATAAAATATTCTGTTAGAAGAGCCCAACATTACATAGGGGAAGAAATAAAAAAAAATAAGGACTAAAACAGGAAGAAAACACCTAAAAACAAAGAAGGCTTAAATTTTCGAAGTCTATGTTGTCTTGTTTGTTTGATGGATAATTTTCCCCATGCCAGCTAACCATCAGAATTGCGACTGGAAACTTTTGAGGCACAAAATCCACTCCCTACCAATCCCAGATTCCCACCACAAAAATTTACAGGGGACGAACTCCAAACTTGCGTCGAAAACTTGCGTCGATGCAACATTCCACAATTGCCTAAAGCCTACCTGAGGATCGAGGAACGTGGATGCAGCGGCGGACTCCACTCGGGCCATTAGGGTTCGGGTCAACCCAAAGCTTTGGGAAACAAAACCCGCACCCGCAAGAACCTAGTGGCGGCGGCCGGTGGAGGGGGAGGCCAGCGTCGCGCCTAGTGGCGGCGGCCGGTGGAGGGGGAGGCCGCCGGCGCGCCCCTGCAGCCGCGGCCCAAACCCTAGCGCAGCCTGGGCGCGGGCAGACTGCTCTGCGGGTGGGGGCCTGCGGCGGGGTGGTGGTGCAGCGGCGGGTGGGGGCCGGCGCCGGAGTTGCCGGAGAAAATCGCTAAAATAGGACTCCACCTTTTCTAAAATAGGACTAGTTGGCTTTGTTTAAATAGGACTCAAAACGTTGTCATTTTATTATAATAATATTTTGATATTTTTAATTATATTTGTCATCTCAAATACATGTATTTTATCTTAAACGGACTATTTTGCCGTTAGGCCTTTAAAACACGTGTATAGGTGGGATGCTGGCCGCCGCCTGGCCATGGCCTGGGCTGGCTGGCTGCCGCCTGGGCATGGCTGGCCGCTGCCTGTACAGTGTAGTACATATTGCATATACAATGTAGTATGGAACAAACAATACTGCCTCGTATACGTACTGCATGCATGCATATATGCATATATATACAAGATTGAAATAGAAAAATGATGATCCAAGCAATATATAAAACACATGAATTTAGGACAAACAAGTTCATATCATAAAACCATGATTCTAGCAGTTACAAGTTCATCGCATAAGACTATAATTTAGTTTAAAATAAGATCCAAGTCATGAAATAAATCATGAGCAGTTTACATCTCATCACACAACTAAAGTAATTTATCCAATGTGTAGCTTCCTCTTCGGTGTCATCTTCTTGGGTGCTGCAGCGGTAGGCATCCTTACGGGACTATTGGTGTCAACTTGTGAAGATGTGCCCTCCCCTAATAACGTCGTAAGCATGCTGCACATAAATTCAATATGACAATTAGGTGTTTGGAAAAATTAGTGTATGGTAAATGTGTCAATTTCTATATTTATATTTTTTACCTTCCTGTGACACTTCCTGGACTATCACGTACAATTTCTTCTCTAGTCGGCCTCCGTGGAGTGCTAGGTTCCGCTGGCTGTATTGTAACATTTTTCCTTGGTCGCCTACGCTTTCTAGACAATCGAAAATAACAATCACAAACTTGAGCAATCCAAGTTAATCAAAAAAAAAAATCAACGACTTCTCACATGCTACAGAGGCAATAATGCAAGCAAAGCAAAGTTCAGAGTTCTTACATGCATATATATGCTAGTGGCCTCATATACGTACTGCATGCATGCAAAGGACAAACAAGATTGACTTGGAACAAACAAGGCTGCCTCATATACGTACTGCATGCATGCATATATGCATATATATATACAAGATTGAAATACATGTACAGACTAAACAAAGTTGTGGAATGTACAGACTATTTACCTCTTTTTTGCAGTCCCATTGAGCGGCACTTGGAATTAGCTTACCTATGACCTTTTTCTCCGCATCTTTTGCAAGTCATAGGTCCTCTGATCATCTTCTTTCCCTTTGCATTTGTTGGAGCAGTATCATTGTCACATCCCTTCTCACCCTCCATCTCATTGGTAAATTTTCCATCTTCGGAACCTTTCTTCTTGTGTCCACCTTCCATCCATCCCTTGATTCTTAGTTTCCTCAATCTTCCAGGAGGTAATTTAGCTAGAGGTGCACCAACTAAAAAAGGTAGGTCGACTTCTGGCCATTGTGTTTTATCTGTCATCGGTTCAATCTCTCTTCCATAAGCCGCCCTAAATCTATTCACCGAGTAGTAGTCATGCACGAACTGTTCTAGGTCAATTCCCCTTTGGCGGGTTACACAGGCCAATACATGCTGACATGGCTTACCAGTGTGCTGCCATTCTTGACAAGTACAAGTCCTTTGCTCTAACTTGACAATGTGTCTCACAGAAACGCCGCTGCTATGGTCCCACACCTCTGCACTCCAATTAGAACATTTCACAAATTTTAAGTGTCCTAAACCTCTAGTATTTGCTCTTAGCTGAACCATAATAGCTGGGAGAATCCTGCCCTCAGGTAGTCTGTATGCAATAATTCTTCTCTTGTGCCACAGTACCATGATCATTTCTCTGATCTTATTAGCAAGGTCAACAACAGGTAGGTCATTATGGTCTCTAATCCAGTTATTAAATGACTCAGCAATGTTACTAGTTATGAAGTCACACTTAATGTCTGGATTGAAACCACACCTATACCATAGAAGCTTGTGATTGGCCTGTAACCATTGCACTGCTTCTGATGATTCACTTAGCATTTTTGCTAAATTGTCATAGAAAATCTCCTCTCTGTAAGCTCTTGCAGCAGGATATATCTGGATAAACCCTCTAAATCTCTTTTTGAAGTTTCTGGCTAGATGATAAAATCATTCCCTTTGCTCTGCATTTGGGAATACATTCTTCACTGCATTCTCTAAGCCTTTGCAAGCATCAGAACATATAGCAAGTACTGGAGGATCACCTATAGCCTTCTTCAACTGTTCCATGAACCAAGTCCAGTTGACTGTTGTCTACGAAGCAATGAAGGCATAAGCTACTGGGTACATCCAATTGTGACCATCAACTGCTACAGCTGCGGCCAAGTGACAATTCCACCTTCCATTAAGGGCTGTAGCATCTATGCTCAAATGAGGCCTACAACCTTCCAAGAAACCATCAATACATGGTTTGCCATAAACCTCATCAAGAGCTTTTGCTTTACCCCGCCACACAGTGTCATATGCAATTTCACACTTGTGATCTGTCTCCAACCTCTTTTGCAGTTCCCTAGCACCAATATCTGGTTCAGCTCTAAGTATACTCGCAGCCCATAGAGCTACCCACTTGCAATTTGGAGTTGTAGTTGCCATCCTCATGCTAGACACACATGTATGGTCATTGACTAAGACGGTAACCTGCAAGAAAAAATAAATCAATGAGATATATTGTGTACTGTTGCATCATATATAGACACACATATGTACTGTTGCATCATATATAGCACAGAAAAAAAAATCAAGGACTTCTCAGTCATATATAGACACACATGAAATAATGCACGTTCACAGCAGCTAGCAAAGTAGACAATCAAGCACAGGAGCATGCACACGTCCGGCCAATCAAGTAGTACCAAATGAATCGTACAGAGGCATGCAAGCATATATGTATATATAGTACTACATGGCAGTAAAACACTTTCATCCGGGCAATTAAACACAGACAATGTAGAATTAATGAAATAAACCATGTATACCTCCATTGTAGCGTTGCCTTGCAGTTTTCTGCCATTTATCCTCCAAATGCAAGGGTGATCTTCATCACCGGAATTGCAATAAGCCCTATATACCGTCTTAGTTGACTTCTCTACTCGTAAATGGAACTCCTTGTTGATGGCAAATTGCCGAACTGCCAGCTTGAACTCCTCCATTGTTGGGTACATTGTCCCTACCTCCATTGATGGGTTCTTCTTATCATACGTAATGACCATCTCACTGGGTACGGCATCACTAGTAGGGATGGCAGCACCATCAATATCTTGCCCAAGCGCAGTATCATTCACTTGTTCATCCATTCGGCAACCAAAGCCTTGTGTAGGTACATTTGTTGACTCATTTGTTGTGCCCTCTTCTGTCAAGCCTAAAAACTCACACATCCGGCTCTCGCTCATAACTTCAATTCGACCTTCATCATCATGTGTTTCCACAATTTGTAATGTTGCCCAATCAACTTTTCCTATAGTTTCCACATCATTCACTTCGGACCTATAAACAAGCCAAACCTAGTTTTATTTCTGTACGGTACTTGTACTGAAAAAAAGATCTAGTGGATGCAATATATATACCTTTGCACTTGAAGAACAGGAATGTTGCACTCTCTTGCCGGATGAGGAGTAGTAGGCAGAAGTGACCTTGCTAGGGCTAGACCATCGATGGAGGCCTCCACTTTGGTCAGAGGGCCATCCAGTTGCCCCTAGCACAGGAAGCTTGGCCATCAAAAGCCGTGGCGGTCTGCAACAACTTGGTCGGGTAGGCCAGCGGCGCCATGACGGGGCACCAAAGCGACGCTGAGGCCAGAGCACCGGGCGACGCCGCGGCTAGGGCACCAGGCGCAGCCTCGGCTAGGGCACCACGCGTGGCCAGGGCTTCGGTTGCCTCCAAGTCCATGGTCGGCGGCGTCGGCAGGGAAGGAGGGGCAGCGGGAAGGAGGAACGCCGAGGCCAGAGCACCGAGCGACGCTGCGGCTAGGGCACCAGGTGTGGCCTTGGCTAGGGCACCAGGTGTGGCCTTGGCTAGGGCACCACGCGCGACTAGGGCTTTGGTTGCCTCCAAGTCCATGGCTGGCGGCGTCGGCAGGGAAGGAGGGGCAGCGGGAAGGAGGAACGCCGAGGCCAGAGCATCGGGCAACACCACGGCTAGGGCACCAGGCGCGGCCTCGGCTAGGGCACCACGCGCGGCCAGGGCTCCACGCGCGGCCAGGGCTTCGGTTGCCTCCAAGTCCATGGCCGGCGGCATCGGCAGGGAAGGAGGGGCAGCGGGAAGGAGGAACGACGGGATGGCGTTGGCCAGGGCTCATGCGCCGTACGGAAGGAGGAACGACGGGCTGGGGCAATGAATCGACACGGATAGATTAGAATACCAGAAGGGCAATACAGTCAATATGAGAAAATACATGTATTTGAGTTTTGTAATATGATTAAAAGTTGTCAAAATGTTATTATAACAAAGTCACAACGTTTCGAGTCCTATTTTAGCAAAGCCAATGTTAGGAGTCCTATTTTAGCAAAGACACATGTTTGGGAGTCCTATTTTAGCAATTTTCTCGAGTTGCCAGGCCCCGGGCGGCAGCGGTCGAGCGCCTCCTGCTCCCGCTGCTAGTCGCGCGGGTAACGACTCTGTTCGCGAGTCCGAGCCAACAATCGAAGGGAAATTCCTTCTTTCCAAGGAGGGGGCAGTATGGTTTTTTCCGTGCC